TCATTGTCATCCTCGTTGTCATCCTCGTTGTCATCTTCGTTGTCATTTCGTCATCATCATCGTCATTATCATCGTCATTATCATTATCATTATTATTAATGATATTTATTAGCATCTGTTATGTTAATGCGTATTTTCTAATCATGGTATCCAACATCGTAGATCGTATTGCGCTCATTCACCTCGTGCAGGGAATGATAATCATCACAAAAATCAGCCATCCTAGCATTGTTTGATTTTACTTGACGCTTCTCTATTGACTCCTTTCTTTGAACATCAATAAGACGCTTCAAATCCGATATCTGGACCTTGACGTTAAAGCCCCAGTGACGTAACAAGCCGTGCAATAGATGGTAATCTTTATCAGTGACGTGAAAATCGATAGCTTGGCCAACGGTTGACGGAAATCTCCAGAAATCAATCTGAGACGAGAAATTAYGTTTTAAACACATTATAACAATTACCTTAATTAAGGCGTTAGATAAGAGTGGAAAATTTCCGCTAAAATTTTTCTCAATCAATACAAAAAGCTTCATCTTTCTTTTTCTCCCACTCTCTCCAGTTATCTCTTTCTCTGATCTTACTTTAATTCATTTTGTAACATGGATTTATAAGTTTTACAGTATTTGTATCGAACGGCTAAAGAGCCATTATGCTGCAGGGAACTTCATATTACATGTGACATTATTTCATATGTGTTTATTTCCAATATTGCCTTTGGCCCAGAAAGGCTGTAGGGAGACTTCAAACTCGTAATAAGGTCCGTGTAGGGTAGTGAATTACTAGGTATAGTTCAGGCATCATTGGCGGATCCAGGACTTTAAGAGTGGGGGGGGGTTCATTTTTGCAAATCCCGGCACAACAATAACGTTCTTTTGCATCATCATTTGGGCACATCACTGACCTAGGGGCGTTCCTGATAAGGATAATCTATCCATCAAAAAGCGGACCTACCATACTTTTATTTATTTATTTAAAAAAATATAAAAAATCCAAGGTACCAGCCGGTAGGGGGGGTTCATTTGCACCCAATGGGCCCCCTAAATCCGCCACAGGGCATTGACAACAAATTATTCGAAACACTGATATAAGTCGAGCTCTTGGGAATCAGCCTTCCGCCGAATAATTCGCTTGAGTGTTCAAGAAAAAGTGGCTCATGTCGAGGTCGAACTTGATAAATAGAGAAAATGTACGATCGCYGATCAAGTCTAACATCAAGTTGGATTCATTGTTATGTTGTAACTCAAGTTAAATGGGTAAGGTATATTGCCCCATAATATGCTAATTTTATCAAAATATTTCCAAAATCCAAACATATAAAATGAGTCTTTCATTTCCCTTAATTTCACGGTAATTCATTGTTAAAATTGGTCCAATCTAGTATTTTATTGCGATCGTAAAACATCCTACTTTTGAATTAAATTTCACAAGTTTCAACAAACATTCTATTATTCGATCAAATAGAAAGAAACTAAATGCAGCTCGTGTTAGTAAAGAGAGATGCCTTTTCTGAAAACCTTCTATGCCATTTACGTCAACCGTTTCATTGACAGGGCCGGATATGTAGTTGAATTAAACCATTTACGAGCTTTTAAAGAAAATATTTAAGCTCCCAAATAATGRATTTAATTGATTCATTCTAATTAGTGGAAATTGTTTTGAAATGTTAGTGAGCTGAACAGCTGTTGTCACATACTTAGCTAAATGAATTTACTGGGAGGGAAAACATCTTGGTAAGAGAATTCGTAAGAGAATTAAAGAAGAAAGAGTTGTTTTTGATGCTGAAGAAAAATTAGAAGAGAAAAAAGAAAAAGCTATCTATAGAATTTGATGTAGCAGGGGGAAAAAGCACATATTGTAAGCTAAAATTTAAAAATTTTGGTAATTCAAGTTTTTAAAATTTTTTTGATGTCTTTTTCCTATTTTCCTTTTCTTCTAATGTGTTAAATATTCGTTTATCGTTTTCAAGTGTTTTCTATCAACTTGGTTCTTTAAGAAGACAATAATTCATAATTATCTGGAACTCGTACCTTGTTAGCAATGTCGTTGAATGCTGTCATTAGCTTGAGCTGGGAAACCGTTGACGGTACGACGCGAAGTACTTTGTCACTACAACGATACATGCACCATCAATTTTAGACAGTCTCTTTTGTTTTCCTCCCTTCGCAAAACCCGAAACACGCTAAATGTTTGATGAGCCCAGAGGTTGTTTCATGGTTTAATCTCTGACTGTTAGCCATTCTGACTTTGATCAGTACAGAGGTTGTTTCGAGGTTCCGTGTTAAGTACATCAATTTTGAGGTTTAACCAGAGATTAGACCAGAGGTTGCCTGGTTCAATCTGTTAGTTATCCGTGCCCTGACTTCGATCGGCCCCGTGGTCGTTTCAGGGTTCAATCTCTGAGTTAGCCGTGCCCAGATTTTGGTCAGCCCCGAGGTTGTTTCGAGGTTCGTGTTAAATACATCAATTTTGAGGGTTTAACCATTACATATTCAATATTAAAGCTGAAACATTTAACCTGCCTCAACTTACCTTGAAGAAAGAGTAAAAATATTGCAAAAAAGGAGCAATCTCAACAGCGCCATCAGCATCGATGAAAGTGCTGATATATATTCTCAATATAGGACAAACCATCTAATGTTTCGTTCAAATTGAGAAAGATAAACTCAGTGCCTGAAAGGAATACAGATCATAGTTTAACTATCAATGTCATGTTGTTATAAGAGAATGAAACGTAATCACGGGGCATCAAGGCGTATTTACCACGGAGAACAAAGAGGTTTGTTCACTGGATAACACATACATGGATAAATTAAAATGGAAACTACGTATCGTGATAGTTTTTTTTCTCACTCAAGGTTTCGTGGGTATCGGAAAGTTTCGGGAAAAAATTCTTATTCGCAATAAAAGAAATAATGTCTCAATAAACTGTTTTCGAATTTACAAAAAGAACTGCTATGTAAAAACTTCTTCTGCAATTTGAYACTTTTGTGAATGAAAATACGGACTTAATGAGTGATTAAATAAACTAAGCTAAAAGCAGAATATAGCTAAATGTTATGTATTTCTTTTCACGAACGTAAAATTTCAAATTTGGTTTTTGTTTAGGAAGAGAGCGTGCGCATTGTAGTTGTAGTTTTGAATCTATTAAGTTTTCATTCAGAATTACACTTGAAAACCATATGGTTTCTTTTCAATCATATAAAAATGCAAAAATTTTGAACAAACTTTAATTAGCATATTTTAGGGTTTAAAAGATTGAAGGGAAAGGTGCGTGAATCGATTGTGCGTTTGGTCGCTACGACAATCCAGACACATTTTCTTGAGTTGAACGCTGGATAAATGACTGTGAATTGTCAACAATTCTCCATTTGAGGTGTAAATGACGTCATAGCCGCCATGTTGGAAAAATTTGCCAAAATATTTTTCAATTAATCCAATTAATTCTAAAGGCTTGAGTAATTAGAAAAAGTTTCAAAACATCACTCGTTGCTATTGTACTCGAGATGGTATAATTTCCTATACTTTTACAAAATCCTRAATGCATTTTTCTAAAGGTCATCCTTCGTTTGCACGTTACGTCATCGCGGCCATGTTGGTACCATTTAACAAAAGATTTCTCATTAGCATCCATTGTTAACGGTACCACAATGGCCGCCATTTTTTTTTTGTCTTTTAACTCTCTTGGGAATGTTTGCAACCCATCAATTGCGTACTTCCGTAATATAACACTATATCCCAGGTTTTGAATTCAAATATTAACATCGAATAATAGACGTTTTGGTCTTTCATTATTATTATCAACTCGCATTCGCGCCGATGCAGGTGAATATATGAATGGCTTGGAAACGTATAGCTTAATTTGTTCTTATTATACTTGAAACAAAGGGTCTAAATTATTAGAAAATGTTAATTTAGATTTCTCTCGTGATTGAATTTTAACATTTTTTTCGAGCAAGTCTGGAGAAGCTAAGTCATTTAATTAAGGACGTTCAAGGGCATTGTTCGAGCGCGCATCCTTTCTACGCATGAATTTAGTGAGCCCGCGCTCATCGGGATGACGTCATTCCAATGTCTTCTTCTAGTACGATGTTCTTTCATAGTGCATATTTTTTTAACAATCTGATAATGGGATCTTTTGCGAACGTTTTTATGTATATATAGCAAAATGTTCCAATTTTTACTTAGACATCATTTAATTAGCCTAGCCTAATCATTTATGATCTTTATTTCGTTATATTGCTATGATTTCGTGGCTCGGGATGGGTGTCGTATGTTAGTAGAGTTGTTTGTTGGTTCTCTCCTGTGCTTTGAGGGATTTTCTCCGGGACTTCGGTTTCTTTTTGTTGTTTTTTTTTTTACGCAAGAAAATCAACTTCTAATTTCAATCGCAATTCAGTGGATGAAGAACTACTTTGTAAAAATGCCACTGGTGATTCCTAATTGTTATTAATTTTTTTTTTTTTTTAAAGGAAGAATCGTTTAATTTAACAAAGGAAATAAAAATAACGATCAACTTATTGAATTTGTGGAATGGGATTCGTTTTTTCTTTTCCTTTTTCTTTTAAGATTTTTCTCCGCAAAACAGAAAAAATATAGAATTAATACAGTTCTCTTTTAAATCTTACGTTTAATGCTATACATGCTTTGAAACACATGGTGAAGGTGATCCGTAGGTTAAATAAGTTAATTGAATGTGATCATTTTCCTGCAATATATCTAATTGTTCTTTTTAGTTTTGTACTAGTTTACATTACATTATACGAGTTTATCAAAGTAGGACGGCGATTAAATTTAACCTTAAAAAAAGGTTTTTGAAACTGAGGACTCACGTTCAAAGGCAAGTTTGACTAAGGGATGCAAAAGAAGTCGGTCAAAAACGCTAATTTYGTCGACGGCCATTTTATAGTACCACAAAACAACTCTTAATATATGTTTGTATTAATGCTATACGGATACTAAAAATGTCAAAATATTAACCCGTAGGTTTATTTAATCGTCGTCCCACTATTAATATGTCGGTTAAATATGATAATATTTTAAAATATACAATGTTAATTATAGTTTAGCATCTGCATGGCTGTTTGYATGCACAGATTTTTGCTTATACATTTTGTTTCTAGCTTATTAAACTTTCTCCTCAGCTTGATTACTTTTAAACGTTCTCTAGCACGCTAGTTTTAGCATCCTTAACAATTATATCTTCAAAGAGGCATAGTTTCTGTTATTGTACAAAGTTCTTTTGCCTTTATATCGTCAAATTATCTTTAAGCGCCGTCTGTTCTAGAAGCCTTGGCAGCCTCGTGTACTTGGTGATGTCCACTCTCAGCCGCGGTAACCTGGATTTCATTCTGGGGTTCAACTCTATTATCACTGCAGCACGAAAGCCTTTTGAAGATGGTCTTAATGGCTTTGCGAAAGTTTTGCAAGCGAATTGCGTACAGAAAAGGATTGACCAGTGAGTTGAAAACAACGAAAATGAACTGAAAATCCCGAAACCAGTGAATAAGCTCGCAACTACAAACAGTGCAGAGATTCATCAAGTAGATCATGACAGTTGTTGGTAGGTAGCTGAACAAAAATGCAAGCACCATTAACATGTATGTTCGCGTTAGTTTATTTTCAGCGTTTTGAGCTCGTGCATGCGCTTTTGCAGCCTCACTAGCACCTGCCACCAGCTGAGCGGAATTCTCTGTTGAGGTTTTTAGCGTGCGAAAAATTCGCACATAGGCAAAGATTACAATAAACACTGCGCAAAAGAGCGCAATATTGCCAAAAATGAATGCGTAGGTCACAAAATCCATGAAAAAAAAGATGGATGTAAAACATATCGACAGAACCCAAATCGCTACCGAAGCAAAACCGACCCTCAAAAGGCTTACGTTTACTCTATACCACATCGGTAAGGTAATGGCTAAATACCTATCTACTGTCAGAACAGCAAGGCTTAGAAGGGACGCAGTGCAGCACAAAAAATAGGCTGTTTGGCTCAACCAGGTCATGGGGATGCTCATCTTCCGAGCTTCACGGTAGTGGATCATCACTGACAACGGCTCAGCTATTCCTCCTACGATAAGATCCGTTACAGCAAGGTTTAGGATCAGAAGGGTAAACGGCTTTCTGAATTCCTTGTGGGGATCTAACAGTACCACCAAGACGACGATGAGGTTTCCTGGAATGGTTATCAGCATAAAGATCAAAGAAACCGACATGTTTGTGTACGAAACGGCCGTYGGTGCCCATGTCTTAGAACACTGGTTTTGCCCAAACATATCTAGGAATAAAAAAAGGCAAATATTTGTTTAAGCATTTATTAAAGTTATATATCATTCGATGTTATTGAACCACTCCATGAGTGCTAAATTGTCTCTTAGTTCGTTTTCGCAGACCCAAAAACGAAGTATTTAACATTTCCCTTAAGAAATTAAAAGAATTCTGTCTTCATTTTATCGAATTTAGCGCATTCGCTTGAGATTCCATCGCTTTAGTATCTCGCAAAAGATATACGTTTGAAAAGGTCTCTTTCTTATTTATGCTATGTTCTCCTTCACAGACTGTAAATGACCACCTCAAGTTTTTTGGCGTTTCTCCCTAAAAGTTATTACGAGTTTTCCAATTGTTCCTCCCTCCGAAAAACCTTACAAACTAAATTCCGATTCAATCTTTACGGTTGTTTCAGGGTTGGATCAAATCTAAAGGATTTTGATGAAAGATCATAAATCAAAAAGATTGATCGAAAAAAATGAAAAACTTTGATTTTCAAATCTTACCGGTGATGTTCTTCAAAGCCGTAAGCCTTCGGACCTTACGATTTAAGCTGTGGAGATTTCTTATAATCAGATTTTTGGTCACAAACACCATATATATATTGAAACAGCCCCGGCTCGTGTTTATGAACAGGTCTCATAGCAACTTGGTCTAGTACAATGGCATATAAATTGCAGTAGAATTTTGTTCAGTAATGTGTAGGAAATTGCTAGGCTTCCGATTTTTTCACTGTTAATTTGGATGTTTTGTTCAGTAAGGAAATGGCCATGAAATGGTTTCTTTGCTTTGTTTTTCTTTAATAAGGTTTTGYTTTTCAACCTGAATGGGACAGAAAAGCGGATATTTGGTGTACAGCGTTTTTTCTTACCAAAACAATATATTTTCTATTCTCGGAAAATTGTACTCCAGAGAGAGAGAAAGAGAGAGATCCACGGATCCATTCGCCCACCCACCCACCTTCAAATCATTATTGCTGATACCCTGAAACAGCCTCTGAGCTAATCAAAGTCCAGGCAAGTACGGCTAACTTTATCCTTCACATATCCATCCATCCATCCATCCATCCATCCATCCATCCA